ATTTATAAATTCCACAGTACCAATGCTGCCACTGAAAATGTTTGCTTTAAAACACTATCAGTAGCTCGTTAAGGACGATACCCCCCCCCCACCCTCCTTTCCCCAAACCCCTACCCTACAGCCCCCCTCCCTAAGTTTAAAATCGTTTCAAACTAAATTAAATGCCCATAATAGCCGTCACTAAACCGGGCTCTACGATTGTAAGCATTTACCGTGAACCACAGCTCACCAGACCATGTGGGGGTGGTAGGGATATGCCTAGAGAGGATGAGAGGCGGCTGCTAGGCGCGCTTACAGCTTGGTGTTTTCTATGGTCTCGATGAAGATAATTATATATATAGATATTTATGCCAGTTTTCATTCTCTTGAAAATGAAATATATAGCAAGAAATGTAATTGTGTAAAAAATCGAAGGAATCAAGAATTTAACAAATCTTGACAAAACATTTTACTCTTTCCTTAGTCAGAAAAACTTGGTTTTGCTCCTTTGTTTGTATGTCTGTAAACATGACAATTTTAGTACAGTTTCAGCTGTCAATAATATTTCAAATATGTAGTTATCTATCAGCTTTCCTGGTAAAAAAGGAAGTTGTATTCATGCTACTTCTGATTTCTCAAAAGCTAAAACTTCAGTAACATTTAAGTGGACAAAATTTCATAAACAGCTTTTACGCTGTATCTGTAGGTTTCTATCAAACTTTTGAATGATTTCTGACAGGTAACCGTAAGTGGTAATTTACATAGTCCATAGTGTTTCATTTAGGTAAAATAAATTTCATATAATATATATATGCGAATAACAGGTTACACTTGGAATATTTTCAATTTTTGAGTAACCTCCGATATCCTGAAGTGGTACTTAACATAACTCCATTTTTGGTTAGTAAAATACCAATAACCTGAGTACAGTTTCAGAGGAGTAGAATATAACCACCATTCCCACCTATCACCCCCACACACACCCTCCATCAAAACCCCCTGCAGCAATTACAACTTGTTAATTATTCCCATCCAGTAGGACATTACCCAGTCATTTGGAGATAGATAGCTTAAGGATAGGATAGGGCAAGGGCTGGTCTTTTCCAGATAATTCCATCCAAGACAATTAACCCCTTCCACTCAAAAAAGATTTTTTATAAGAGAATAAGAATTACAGTTAGAATTAATTGTGTGCACAAAATGAGCCAAGTTTAAGTTCAGGACGAAAGAAATTAATCTTTGTTATGAAGACACAGACAACTAAGAAATTTTTTTTTTTGGTCTGCAACAAAAATAAAATAAATTAACAAAATTATTTAAAGCTACGAATCTCTTAAGGTATTTAATAAGATGAGGCCTGCCAATAATCCAAATAGTGTGCATGTAAAAAGTTAAGCCCCACCACTAGACATTTAAATACTTAATCTTAAACGCATACCTTAAAAAAACTCCTTATCCGCTTCTAAGGATAGGGCTGGTTTTGAGGTTAGGATTATGGCTAAAGGTACAAAAATACCGACCTTTTCATGCAAATTATTAATGTTCCAATTTCACCCTATTTCTTAAAATCTCGAAGTACAAATTTTAAATCCTCTTTTATAATCTCTTTTATTTGGGGGTGTCAGGGGTTAATTTTTGTAAGGGTTTATCTCGACAAGATCCTAATAAAATAATGAGATGTTTTGTTGATATATATAAAAAAAAGTTCCCTTTTCAAACCTGACGGTCTATGGGGCAGGTAAAGTAGAATTCACTTGTTCACCCACCTCTGATGGGTACCTAACTCACGTTAGGGAAAGTAAAGGCAGCTGGGCATAGTTCTGACCACACTATCTCTTCATATGCCGAGGTCACAGAAACAAGTTGTTGATATATATGTTGGCCTTTTTTCTTTTGGTAGTAGTGTGTGAATGTTACTGTTAAGACGACCCACCCCAACCCCTGCAAACATTCACAGCACTTGATTTCCCTATGACCTCTCGTGCTCTTCTTTTCAGCATGGACAGCAAGTGCAGGGCCCAAAGGGATCGGGAGAGAGTTCGGGTCTAAGAACAGGTATTCACTTGGGGTTAAAAGACTATTAAGGGTGAGGTGGGCATAATAGAATATTGGTTGTTGTTTCCTAGTGCAGCTGATAGACTGTTTCGTTACCAGAAACTGGTTCGTCTAGCAAATAATTATCACTCTTAGATGTGTTGTAACAATTTTACACTATCTCCAATTTCTGCACAGATCAAAAGAATTTAACTATCTTTATTTCTCTGTCTATTATCTGTCATGGGAGAAAAATTGCAAGCTATAATTCAAACACTTCTACGGGACTGGTTGTATTCAAACATTTTAAGTAGGTCAAGATTTGATACAATGCATTGTGTCATGAACTGTGGCTTAATTAAATATTTAATTAACTTAAAAAAAAAAATTAATGAATGTTTCCATTAAAAGCATTAACTTTTCTCATAGCTCTAAAAGCAAAGTTTGTGTTTATTTGGTGTACAATTATTTTTTCTACCCGATTCTATTCTATTTATTAAATTTAATATCAGAACAAGATAGTCTAGTACAACAAGGTGTGAACATTGCCTAGGAAGATATGAGATTCATTTATTAAATTTTAAGGGAGCAGCCTGACATTTCAAATCTATATAATAACAATATTTAGCAAAAAACATTTACAATACCATGCTTTTAAATATGCATTAAAATTAGAAAAAATAAATGGATTATCTTAATACTATAATGCACCACTAGATAAATATCCGAAATGAAAGTTGTTTTTTGCTACCTAAAAAATTTCAATAATATATAATTAAAATGTTTTGAAATAGTATAAATTATATATATTATATACTAGCATGCCATTACTGCTCATTGTCGCGGGGTTCAAAGAAAGTCTGACAAAATATTTTAAGAGGGTTTCATCAATGTGCTACCATTCCTATATTCTTAGATGAATGACCTTGTTTTCTAAAACTGAGTTATTTAAATTTAAACAATGCCTGCCGGGGTGCCGCCCTTTGCGAAATTTTTTTCTTTAACAGAAACTCTTCCAGGAGTATTCTCAACAGCTGCCTTTAAGTTTCATGGCGAGCAGATGAAAGGTGTAGTAATGCATAAAAGACACACACCCACGCATGCACATACACTTTCATTTATATTTATGTAGATTAAATATCTCTGCTTAAATAATTCATATATATGTTTATATATATATATATTTATTATATATAAATTTAATATATATAAGAAAAGATATAATATATATATATACATATATATATATATATATATATATATATATATATATATATATATATATATATATATATATATATATATGAGCGAACCATGCTTTTCTTTATAGATATTTAAATAATGGTGCATTAATATACATTAAAAGAAAAACAAAAACTAGACCCAGACAACCTGGCTGAAGAGGGTTTGAGTAAAAGAGTAGCAAACCACTGTTTAAAAACTGAAAAAATCAGCATCCAAGCCATGGAAATGAGATAAGACATACTATTATAAAGACAGCATCTCTAATGATGTAGAGCAGGGGTCTCCAAACTTTTCAGCCCGAGGGCCGCATTGACTATCAGATAGCAGTTCGGGGGCCAAGAACACACTCGAAGTCCAAAAAAAAAGAAATCAAAACATGGATGTTGTTTTTCAGAGGCGTAGCGACCCTTCCCGGCGCCCGGGGACAAACTTTTTTGATTTGCACCCCTCCCCTCTTTCAATTTGCACCCTCCCCCCCCCCTCAAACTTTCGATTTTCACCCCCCTCAACCTTTCAATTTATTTTTCCAACCCATTTTGGCGCCCCCTAAGGTCGGCGCCAGGGGACATATGTCGTCCCCCCCCCCCCCTCGCTACGCTACTGTGTTTTTTATTATTAATTAAATATTATTTATTCAATAACTGTGTAATAATACATTGATAAACTACACATCGAAACCTGTATTAGTGAGAACGGTGAAACTGTTTCCTGGATGCCAGAATAGCAGACATTTCAGGCTTCATATTTGAAGTTCCCAACATCAACAGTGACCTGAGGTTACCATCGGACAAGTTCTTTCTCAAATTGTTCTTCACGTATTTCATTCTTGAAAATGTTTGTTCACACAGGTACGTTGTTCCAAAGATAGAAAGGTACCTGGATGCAACATTTTTGACATTAGGAAAGTCTTCCTTGGGTAAAAACTTGTAAAAAGCAGCCAGTCCTTCTTTAAACTTGTCATTATGGAGGTCATTTGCTTGCAATTCAATGATTTCCATCTGCAGTTCATCTGGGCACCTGGCCACATCTGCCTCAAAAGGGTTTTGAAAAAGTCTCACTTCTTCTGCCTTTGAATCTAAATCAGAAAACCGCTGCTGAAACTGCAGCTGGAGGTCTTTGATGATCTCGCATGCAAATGACGTGGGGAATTTAGCTGTTGCTTCAGCCATGAAGTCATTGCACTGCTGAAAGTGCTTCAAATTGTTGGCCTGTACGTGTTCCAAAAAAAAGACAAATTTAGATCTGAAAGCCTTTATGTGGGTGTATAAATCAGAAACTACATTTTCTTTCCCTTGTAATTTTAGGTTCAGAAAATTTAAATGACTAGTTATGTCTGCAGCAAAGGCCAATTTCCATACCCACTCTTCATCAGACAATAATGGCTGTGGCTTGTCTTTACTTTCCAGGAAGTAACCTATTTCGTTTCTTAACTTAAATACTCTGCTAAGAACTTTCTCATAACTTAGCCATCTTATTGCTGTGTAATATGGTAAATCTTGCGATATTGTGTCTGTTTCTTTCAACATGTCTCTGAACTGTCTATGGTTGAGGCCATGTGACCTTATCAAATTCACCATCTTCACCACAGGATTCAGTACACAGCTAATGTCCATATATTTAGCACACAAAGCTTGCTGGTGAATAATACAGTGCAGGAGCATTGGTTGTTGAATGTTTTTCTGATTACACATCTGCTTCACTTGTTCAACCAAGCCTTTCTTTATGCCACTCATGTTCTTTCCTCAATCCACAGTCGGCAACTGAGATTAGTCCAGTCCAAGTTATAATCAGCAAATGTTTTTTTTAACTCATTGAATATATCCTCTCCGGTAACAGTGTCATGCATGCTATGTAGAGAAGCCAGCTCTTGTGTTATGTTCATTTCTTCATTCACACCTCTAATGAACACAAGAAGTTGAGAGGTGGAACAGTTGTCCAGCGATTCATCCATTGCAATTGAAAAATGGCGAAACTTGCTTGCATGTTTCGTAATTTGAGTCACATTGTTTTCAACCATGTCTGCAACACGGCGGGCGATTGTATTTGCACCCAAAGCTACATTTTCAAATTGTTTTGACTTGTCTGGGCAAAGTTCCTCAGCCACCTTCATCAAACATTCCTTCACTACTTCACCATCTGTAAACGGTTTGCCACTTTTAGCCAGGACATAGGCAACATTATAACTGGCCTTTTTTAAGGCTTCATTTTCATTTGAGGATTTATTGATCAACGTCCTCTGAGATGTGAGTTGATTTTTTAATTTAGAATATGTTTTGGCACGGACTTTACCCTCCAACTGTGCATATTTACCCTGATGTTTGCTTTGATGATGACGGCGCAGGTTGTATTCTTTCATCACAGCCACGGTTTCATTGCAAATCAGACACAGCGCTTTATCTCCGGATTTTATGAAGAAGTATTTCAAATTCCATTCTTCTTGAAATTGCCGACACTCATCGTCTATTTTCCTTTTCTTCTTCTCGGCCATCGATGAGAGCTAAAAATAAATGAATTCAATGAGAAAAAAAAAGTGAAACACGATATCGCTTTAAAAAAAAAACACCTGATTATGCGACGCCCGAAGATGCTGTAGGCCTCAGTTTACGCTGAATACCCCTTGGTTGCGACCTAGCTAGGTGTAAGAGGCGTCGTGGGGCCTAACAAGAAACCTTTGCAGGGCTGTACTCAAACGCTTCCGAAATTTTCATGGCGATCGGATGAAAGATGTCGTAATGCGTAATAACTACAAAAACGTTTTTTTTTTTCATGTGTCAGCTCAAGCGTTGGATAACCTCCTGATTTAGGGGCCATCCACAACAAGTCACGTTTTTTAAACAACTCACAAAAAGCCTGAACCTAGCCCCTAAATGACGTCATTTGGTAACAGTAAATGACTATAAATGGTGTCCAATTTATTTATTTACTAATGGTTAACCTTTTCTAAACAATATAAAAATTATCCTACCTTGTTGGTTCTGTGAATCAGATGCACCAAATACTATGCAAGTAAAAATTTGTCTGCTGACCAGTGCTTGCTAGTGTCTGACAATTTGAAGTGGCGAATGCGCGGTTAGGAAGTTGACAAACGATACATTTATCTCTATTCGATACTTGCGATGTTAGAAAGAGGGGTGGGATTGGGGTCGGCTCGGGAAAAAAACACGAAAAAGACAACAAAGCGCCGATGTAAGTCAGAAGTTTGGGATGGTACTTTTCCAAAAGTCAATTATAAAACTTTCTCAGGGGAGATAATTCAAAGCATAGGCACTACAAGCTTACTATGGCATTTCTTGTAAAAGTAAAAACAAGTAAACGTATGTAAAACCTAAGTTTCTAGTATTATATTATTTTTGATAATTTGTAGGATACAGAATAGTGCAGGATAGAAGCTATACGAAAATCACAAACACATATTTTACATTGAAAATGTACAACGGACTTCGGGCCCCTAACCAATGCCACAAAGAAGAAACGTACATCATGAAAGCCCAGTGTATTTCTAGCGGCTTCTCGAGCTGGAGACTTTGTTGTTTTTTTTCAAAGAATTGTGCCGACGACAGCGTGGTTTATTTTAGAAGTAAGAGAGCTCGGATGAAAGCCCACTACATGTCTAGCGGCTTCTAGAGCTAAAGTTTTTTTTTAAAAGAATTATGCCGACGTCAGTGTGTTTGATTGTAGGTTTTTTTTTTCCTACCTAAACAATAAAAAAAACTGGTTTCGGCAGATATGTTTGGGTTTTTATTGCTGAGGACGGCAAAACAAAAAAAAGGTCCTTAATTTTTTCCGCAGCTAAAAAGATGTCCGCGGGCCGGATAAAACAGCCTCGCGGGCCGCATCCGGCCCGCGGGCCGTAGTTTGGAGACCCCTAATGTAGAGCATGATGGGAACCAAGGGCTTAATTTGTCATCATGATGAGCTGCTAGCAACCATTTAAAAAAGAAAGCCCAAGGGGTACAGTTGTAGCAAGGTCATCAGCCAAACTAAAATTTAGCATGCAAAAAAAAAACATGAAAAGATAACATGGATGTTCTTAACAATAACAGATAACAATCTGATCAAAAAGACAATGGTGGTGCTTTAATATCTTACCAAGGCTGCAGAACAGATGTATAGCATTAATGTATTAGATTGAGTAGTAAATGAATAGAATAGATACATTTATTAAACAAATGAAAAATACCTTAAAGTGTTGTTCATAGAACTGCCAAAATAAAGTCTCCAACCTACTTTGTTTCTGTTAGAGGGTTGCAGAACCAATATTTTGTCCAATTGAATTTCTCCATCATCATTGAGTTCCAAACATTCTCTAGGAATAATAAACACAGCACCACCATAACATCTAGAACATGTCGGAGTGTTGTGCATAGACATAAAATAATGACAACTTACTTGCTTTGACTTGTCACATGGGTAGCAAATATGAATGTACTGATTGGTCATTTTGCGTTTAGATAAATTTTCTACTAACGTAATAACAGTTTTTCTCTCTTGAGAGTTTTTAAAAACTCTGTCTAATAATTCTATTTCAGTTGTAACATTTCTTGTACATATTCCATTACTCTGACAAAAAAACATCACCTCAAACAAAAACGTATTTAAATACAATTGTTCTATGTTTCTAAAATCAAATCTTACAGGATGTGTAAAACAGTCTAGTAATTGTTCTTTAGGACCAAACTGATCTATGTGCTGCAACAAGTTATTTATCTCCTTAAAGGTATTTAAATCAGATTCAGGTTGACTGAAGGGGTTGTTGAGCTTTCTAGTACTACTCTCAATAAAAATGTTAAACAAGTTTTCTCTATGTGCTAGCTTGAAGTGGTTAAAGTCAAGCAGGTTCTTTATTTTAGCTGCCAATATTCTGTCTGTTGTCATACACAACACTTCAGAAAAATCCCCTTCATTATTTGATGCTAACAATTTAATACACCTGGCACTGTTGGAATCACAACGGTTATCTCCATCATTGAAAAATTCAACAGTCGCACTTATTGCTTCACTGTCATTAGAGATCACATGCTTGGCTGTTATGATAACAAAAAATAAACAACAATCTCTTCCATAGTCTAAGTTCTCAACCTCTACTAATCTAATTAACATTCCACTTGCATTAAGTTTGATACGTTGTTTATTGAGAGCACTTATTCTCACTGTCAAATTACCCAAGATCTCAATGACCTTAAATACTGTACTTTCCTTTCCAAGAAAAAATTTAAAGGGAATAAAATTTAAATGTTGATCATTTTTCCCACAATGTTTCATGTCCTTATGTAGGTTGTATCCTCTCCTCTGTGCTTCATCTCCTTCTTCCACAAACTCTGGTTCAGTTACCCATTTGTCCATGTTGTTATTGGGATCCATATTTTTAAAGAAAACCTTAAAAAATAGAAAACAAATCATAAACTTAATTAATCAAATAAACATAGAAAAGAGGGGCCCTTTACATGATATATCTTAACTACTGTTATTAATATTGTTGGGAGAAAGAACATCACATTACACAAAAAACTTGGTAAAAACTATGTATTTCTTTGTAGTTACTTTGCATTTAGATTTCTACAACTTAATGTCTTACTACTAGCTATTTATTTACTTTAGATATCTTAGCGCTATAATTAATTATTAAAAAGTAAAAAGCCTACAAAACCAGATCTAGAATTGTCCATAATCTAGTTCTGTGCGTTATACTAATTATACTTTACCTCTGGTAAATATAATATACAGTATTATTATTAGTGTTATAAAAAATATTTTTATTTAGATTAGATCAGTGCACTATACTAATTAGAGTGCACTGATCTAAATGACTCCATATCTCCTAGTGTAGTGTGTAGGCATTTTACTTCATTTAAGTACAGTAGGTTGGTAAGTAGCCTATGTGTTAGTAGCTCTTGTGGAATGTAAAACTTTTGATAAAATTGACTGTAATTGACAGGCTGTATCTCGGATATGTGGCTTATCACTAGTAGAGTATGAATAATTTCCATAATTATTCTAAATACTAGATAAATGGCCTGTTGAGGGAGAAATACAATAAGCGCAAGGTGTTGTCTTTTTCTATAAACCTCAACCTCAACCTCAAATTTAATAGGAAAAAAATGTAATTGAAAATGGATTTTAATCCAGAATCGGCATTGTAATCATATCCCAAAATTCAGCCCAATAAAGAAATTCAGGCTGAAACTGGAGAAAGTTGACTTGAAACAAAATTTCATTGCAAATTGATTTTTATCCAGAACGGGTATTTTAAAATGATTCGGAAAGTTTACTGGATGAAAGAAAACAGAAATTTGACATGATATTGATAAGAAATTTCAGTGAAAACTGAACTTTATCCGAAATTGGTACTTTTACCATATCTGAAAATTTAGCTGGATATGGAAATTTACAACTTTAACAAGTACGAAATGTAACCAAAATGGAACTTTAATCTGAACCGGAATTTAACTTAATCTGGACATTTAAGTAACGTGAAATTTATTTGAAATGTCAAGTAACCTGAAACCAAATTAAAAAAAGAAAAAGTAAACTTATCCAAAAACTGACATTTTAAGCGGTAACGAAATTTAAATTAAAGCGAAACTGAATCCGGATATGGAAACTTGACTGAAACAGAAATTTAACTAAAATAGGAACCTTAATAGTTACGAAATTTAACAGGAAAAAAACATTATTCTGAACTAGCATTAAATATCTGAACCAGCATTAAATACCTGAACCAGCATTAAATACCTGAACCGGAAAATTTACCTGAAATGAAGCCTTATCAACCCAAACCTTAACTCAAATACTAACGCTTCTAAAATAAGATGTTTATTTTTTGTCTATATTACCAATGACATCATTACTATTGTGCATTTTTTTCATCATTCCATTTTGAATTTTATTTTTAATCAGCACTCAATGATGTCATTCTATTCTGTGTAGACCCTAATTATATACATTACCACAATGCTTTATCTGGTAACCTTGATCTACATGTAGTTACTGCACATTCATACTAAATAAGTCGTAGATCATACCCCTAAACTGAGGCCTACACCTTGCTCCTAATCTAAATCCTTGATAAAGGTAACATTCAGAGTTTCTTTCAGCCAACTCATCAGTGTGGTATAGAAAATATATACTTTCACCAGAGTCTGCCCCATTCCATGGAAAATTAAGTCTGCCACCCACCACCCCAGAAACATTCCGTGTTCCCCCTCCCTGGGGAGAAAAAAAAACACAGATCCCACAGACATAATGTAGACCCGATATCTAAAATCTATACCCGTTTCCTAATTTTGGCGGCTTAAACTAAATCATGCAGACAGCATTTCTTTCAGACTTTTTTCTCTGGGGTGGGGGTGTGGTACTTGAAATTTTCACAAGGGTGGATTAAATACTAAGAAAAAACAATGAAAAATAAACCAAACAGCTTGAAACGAAAGAGAAATTCCGCAAATTGTGTCTCACTATTTACCAGCGATTTTGAAGTTATGTCTCACATTTCCTTCTTGTATTTCACCGCCTAACACTTTAACAACAACCCTAAATACTAATTAATTATAACTAGATCTAGATCTAAATCTTGACATGTATTGTCATGTAGATCCAACTAGATTTGCTCTTTTACTAAAAATAATCTTTTAGTAGGCCTTAGCCTAGGCTAGGCCTATATTATAAATTATATTATTACATTTTAATAGAAAATACTAGGATTAGTGTCTATATTATTGAAGAATGCAACATTGTTATTATTACTAGATCTAGAAAGTGGATTCATCAATAAACTTATTCAAAAATAATATAATGATTACTTCAATAGCTGTAGTGTGGAGACCTACATTCCACTACCGCTACGGCACTAGCTTAACTAGCTATAGAATGACTAGATGATACTACTTTTCGTTTATTGTTTTAGGTACGTAAAATCGTCTGAGGCTCGTATTGTGCGAAAAAGTTGTTAAGCTTAAATAGAAGTATGTTGTGATATATTTGTATCAAAGGTAATCTATCGTTTTAGGTACGTCAAAATCGCCTGCGGCTAGTAACGTACAAAAAAGTTACCTCATTGTCAAGTTTAATAGAAGTATATTGTGTCAAATATTATAGATAAATGAAAAATAAACCTAAATCAATGGCTAAATAATATTTAGTCATTGATTTAGGTTTAGTAAATATATCAATATACCAGAAATTAACTTTAAACAGCAATGTTTGCGAGCAAGATTTGCTATATAAACAGCAGGGTGTGGAGAAATTGCGAGCCGCGAAAAGCGAAATGGCGAGGCGGGAAAATGCGAGAAGGGCGCGAAAACGGTCGGTCACGTGACTTTTTGTCTTGCATTTTACCACAACCTGATACTTGCGCTGGGTGGTGTTGAAATGCGAAGATTTCTGCGAAAAATTTAACGCACCCGATTTTCAGTGGTAATTGGTCCAGACTTCAAAGACGTTTAGTTTACATTGTTAAAACTTCCGATTTTTCCGTCGCTAGACATACTGATGATTTGTCAACTCCCCCCATCTTTTGTGTTGACTTAGAATTCCACCTTGTTCGAAACCGACGGAAATACCGCAGACGATAGATCAACATCTGTCTTTTGTGTGGAACGCCGAGGCCGCCTAATTTACCGTCTTTGAGCCCGAATCCGCTGCCGCCGCAAACATATTTTGTATTGTTGCATAGAAATGGTTGATGAGGGGTAAGGGGGGGGGGGGGGTTAGATGTTGTGATGTTACACTATAAACACTATAAAAAAACAATGTTAGAAAAAAAATTTTTAGACATTATTTCACGTTTTAGAAAACTGTTTTAATTCATTGTAATAGGAATGGATTAAAATACTCTATTTTGACAGAAATTAGACAAGATTTTGGGAAAATATCCATGTTTAAAAAAAAAATTCAACTGCAGTTTTGAGGGGGGGGGGGGGTTGTAGGCTGAGGTGTGACGTCATTTTAGTGGGGGGGGGGTGTGGTCTGAATGTTTTGAAAATGTGTGACTGAGGGGAAGGGGGGGGGGGGGGGGGGGTAAAACTCTTCCAAAAAAGCGTGACGTCATTTATGTATGACCCTCTTTTAGCTATTAAATGGTAGTTTAGTCGATAGCGGACTTTATTCAGATTATCTACAAAAGCACATTTTTTTTTCATTCTGTTCATATTTGTGTTCTGTGTTAGCACAGTATAAATGGGAGTCTAATGAACTGGGTTGGATGTACTATGTGTGAAAGATGGTGTGACGAGGTCTGTTTGAGTAGTGCTAGGTCTGTTTCAGAAGATTTTGTATGTAAATTTTGTTTGTAATTAAAATTACTTAATTAAAAATAAATTACACTTTTTAGAATTGTTTATACTTTTACACTTTTTGCAAGTACAACAATGAATACATGTTGCAGAATATCTCTCCTGCTGACAAGATTATACCAATTCACAATTCAGGTTTGTATAAACTTGAGCGGGCTAGATTTTTAAAATTAATGTCAACTGAGACGGTATTTTCCTCTCGCTAACGAGATATACATCTAGATAATATATCTAGGTAATAAAATTTAGATAAAAAATAACAACATACAACACTCGTGTTAAAGGGTATGGCTACATGCTTGTTTATTTTAAAACAAAAAAAAATAATTTAAATAAATAGGCCTAAAGATGAAAATTTTTTTTTTCGCAAAAGGTGTCTCGCTATTTACCCTTGATTCCGCAGGTATGTCTCGCATTATCTTCTCGCATTTTCCCGCCTCACCATTTCGCTTATAGCGTCTCGCAATTTCCCAACACCCTAAACAGCAACTATAGGCCTATATAGTAATATAGTTTACCAAAAAAATTTAAATAGATGGCTGCTATAGTAAATGAGCATGGTTGCATCTGTTGGAAACCTTGCTAGTCTTCATTTATTACTGAAAAGTTTTAATTCAGTTGTTTAAAAACAGGTAGATCTAGATCTACTATCTACATAGTAGTACATAGTACATACTACATGAACTACATAGGCCTACTAGTACTACATGGCATAAAAATGAAACAAGGAAACATTTTTGTATTTTTCAAAACATAGAAATCTAAATCCTCCTCAAAATGTGAAATAGTTATTAAAATTTAAGGAGTCACCTGTTTTTCACATTACTAGATCTAGATCTAGTCTCGGGTGATTTGTTTACGTCCTAAAACTGGCTAAAACAATAGATTAGATAACGGCGATAGATTACCAGAAAATTCACTCACCCGACGTATGCCAGTAGTATTAAATTAAAAGTAGGCCTATAAATAGTTTACTGACTGGGGATTTCTAGATCAAGATCTACTATATAGTACACAGATCTACTAGATTCTAATCTAGATCTACTTAGATTCTAGAATCTAGTTCTAGATCTAGACCTAGGTGTTGATCTAGATCTGGTACTGCGTGATTTAATGTTAATTAATGTGGTATTTTTGCGAACACTTCATTTCATTTTGGGAATTCCCGAATAACACTAGGCCTATTAATAGACCTATAGGTCTACCAAAAATAAATTAAAAGTAGGATCAGTAAGTTAAACAAATCAAACTAAAATAAAGGGGGGAAAAACGTTCATGTTATTTTGGTCAAGTCGTCTTTTTCTAGATCTGAACCTATAATTATACTAGTTCGCTTATTTATTACCTTATGTATTTTATTTTTTCAAGGTATGTATAGATTAGTTAAGACTTAAGACCTAGTTTAAAAAAAATAAAAAGTAACTAGATCTAGGTCTTAACCTTAACTAAAGATTGTGGTTGGCCATGTCTAGATTTGACTGACCTAATGTAATTTTTAATACGTCTATACTAAAGAAACAAATGCTCATATTCTAAATAATATTTTTTTAGTAAATTTGAAGTGTTCTAAGTAGCGCAGCACCGTTACACCATAAATCAGTGTTTTGAATCTCCATTTCTAAATTTAGATATCGGAATTTTCTCCAGCAGTCGTGTATACATAAAAAAGGTTGCTGCATTGATATTTTTGCAACTAGTAATAAAACGGGTAGTGTTAGTATTGTTATCCCTAAAAATTAAACGCTTTTTTTCTGACCCCGCCTCCAGAGTTTCTTCCAGACATCTCCCCCCGAAAAATAGTTACCGCCCCCCCCCGAACGAAAAGAAATTTATACAATTTATATAGAAAATATATACTTTTAACAGTGTTCGCCCCCCCGAAGAAAGTCTACTGCCACCCCCCCCCCCCCCCGAAGAAAAAAGTCTGGAAGAAACACTGCCCGCCTCCAGCGTCATAGATAGTCAGACTTTCCAAAAATGAAGTCACAGTTTAATAGGTTCTCCTTCTACAACTGTATTTTTTTAAAAAGGGGAATTAACCAAGTAGGTGGGATTTTTAATGAAAATATTATGTGAGTTCATTCCCTTTACCGTGCTACTATCAATGACCATCTATGTAGAAATAGTCAGGAAAAAAAATTAAATCACTGTTTATTTTGATACTAAAAATTTTAATTAAAAAAAAAACAATAGTGAAATGCAAAATAACTGCTGAACAACATTTTTAAAATCGTTTTTTTTTCATAAAAAAAATTAAAAGTTTTCTGATCTAGTCCAGATAAGCCCCGCCCCTAATTCAGAAAGTGAACAGGCGAAAAGTTTTAAGCCCCGCCAATTTTTGCCAGCTCCAATTTAAGCAACCTTGACATATTTCTGATTTCTTAACATTTGAATATTTAATCGAACCCCATAAATATGGTTGGGGTTAGGTTTAGGGTCTAGTTTTTGCGGTAGTGTTAGGGGGTCGTCCATATATGACGTCACACTCGTAGGGGGGAGGGGTCCGTAATTTTGTGACGGTGTGTGATGAGGGGGGTGAGGGAGGGGGGTTCAGATGGTGTGACGTCACAATTTTGTATTATAAAAAAGGCATGTTAGAAAACGAGTTTTAGCCGTTATTTCGCGTTTTAGAAAACTGTTTTAATAAATTGTATTAGGAATTGATTAAAATAAAAGTTGACAGTTCAGACAAGATTTTTTTTTTGGGGGGGGGGGGGTTGTAGGCTGAGGTGTGACGTCATTTTAGGGGGAGGGGGTCTGGCTTTTTGTGCCGATGTGTGACGGAGGGTAGGTAAAAATGTACTGGAGTTAAAAACTAAAATATAAAATTCATAAAATTATTTTTATAACCCCACAACTTGAAAATCAAACAGAATTGTGACTGGCTTTGACTGGCTTAACTAGTCCAAATTATTTCATTATAATTTATCTTAAAACGACAATAATAATATAGACTAAAGCCATTCTTCTCTATAAAATATTGTATAAATAAGACGCCTCTTTCATCTTTTTTTCTTACAAAACAATTAAATGATTGTTGCCCATCCCATATAGTCTAAACCTTTATTCCAAACAAATAGATTTGTTCAATCGAATCCTGGTAAAAAACAATTGGTCTTTTAGCCTCCCATACATATAATTGGGGTGTAGGACAAAAGGCCGACAAGACAAAAGGCCGACATGGACAAAAGGCCGACAAGCATAAAAAAAATATTAATATCGCAAAATATATGCTACTGCATAGCTGCTATCTTGACAACTATCGAAATGAGGCATGAAATAAGATGAAACATTCAAGAGAGGAGACGATGCTAGTTGCTATCCTTATTAGGTGAACCATCGGCTCCAAGCGACCGGATATTACGGGAATGTCTTAAACACAAAAGATCAACACCTAAATATTGCGAAATGCGGTGACTACTGTATTTTATTGCTCCTTCTATGTCAACGAGGTGAACAAACATCAAAGAACCAAGTCAAAAGCAGTCGCATCATCGCCCACATGCAACAAAGTGGAACGCTAAGAGACAATGCTAGATGCGATCCTTATAAGGTGAGCAATGGGGTCCATGCTTCTGGAGAGGACGGGAGTGTACACAGGATAGCCATAAAAGTGGTGTCACCACCATATTTTGCAAAGAAATCATGACTTTGAGAAAGTTGCAATCAATGCTTGCATTGAATTCCCAACAGCTACAAGTAAAGGGTGTTTTTTTTTTCATTTTAGCCAAAATATATGGCGAAAGCTACAAGCGTTGGGCTTGACACTTCTTTATGGTCAGGATCCATAGTTCTGCCTGCTGATGCGACAAATAGCAGCACTGGCATTTCTTCCAGGTGCAGAGATTCCGGCAGCATTTAATGTATTAAAAAACATTTTCACACCAAACACAGTTGAGTTGGTGAAGTGGTTTGATGAGACCTACGTTTGTGGTCGAGCGAGGTTGTTAAACACAAGAGAGGTGATGGTTCCACCACTTTTCCACCAGAGTTCTGGTCTGTACATGACAATCATGTACATGGGATTCCTAGGACACAAAACACGGTTGAGGGTTGGCACAGGAGATGGCAGGTAATTGTAGGGAAGGATCACCCTGGAGTCTTTTGTTTGCTAAACCAACTAAAGCAGGAACAATGTAGAGTTGAAGTAGAGATGGAGGCAATATTGCTTGGAGAGCCAGCAAAAAAGCGGAAAAAAAATATTTACAGAAAGAAGACAGGATAACAAATGTAATTGCAGAAAGGGGAAACAGAACTACACTTGAATTTTTGCGTGGCGTCGCGTACAATTTGTCATACTAGGCCATATTTTGTTTCTATTTTGTAATATACCTTTATCATTATGTAACTGGTTTTCAATAAAAAATTAAACATGTCTGTAATTGAAGTTTGTTGTTTTATAAAACTTTTCGGCCTTATGTCATGTCGGCCTTTTGGCTGTCGGCCTTTTGGCTGTCGGCCTTTTGTTTTGTCGGCCTTTTGTCTTGTCGGCCTTTTGGTTGTCGGCTTTTGGCTGTCGGCCTTCTGTCTTGTCGGCCTTTTGTCTTGTCGGTCTTTTGGCTGTCGGCCTTTTGTCTTGTCGGCCTTTTCGATGTCGGCCTTTTGGCTGTCGGTCTTTTGTCCGTGTCGGCCTTTTGTCCGTGTCGGCCTTTTGTCCGTGTCGGCCTTTTGTCCATGTCGGCCTTTTGTCTGGATCCCAAGCGAAGCTGGGCAGCATGCCTAGTAGAATAGAATCTTATAGAAAAAAGAATTGCGCACCAAGCGAACGCCAAAACAAAATGAGCTTAATAGTGCGCAATATTATGAGTACTTTATAAATTTACATGCGTTTTTTGAGAAATCGGAAATAGCGTAAATTAGTACTTCCGGTCAACGGAAATTACTCAAAATTTGACAGAAGGTAGAGAATTAGATCTTTTACTTACGTGTGAAATTTCATTTATCTATCTAAAATAGTACTCAAGTTATAGGCTTTTGACAAATTCAAAGTAGAAAAAGTACCACTTCCGGTTATCGGAAATCGCTCAAAAGTTGATGCGGATCTACGATTTTGATAAAATACTTATATATAAAATTTCATCAACTTAGCTGTAACGGTACTCAAGTAATCGTGTTTACACAGACAGACATACACACACACAGAGAGACATACAGACACGTTTGCAAAATTATGTTTTTCCGTATCAGTGAGGTGTAAAACGTCGAGATTTTTTTTTTCGCACGATTACAATACTTTCTCTATACTTCGTATATACGAGAAAGTAAAAACGTTTAAATAACAAGCTATTATGTACTAGTCAGAATAATAAAGAATTGTTTGTATATAGGCCTACATTGTAAAATAAAGACTTCCATATTCAAACGTAGTAAGGGGATGGGGATGTTGTAAGTAAATAGGAAACAAGGCTACCTTCTAAAATACTAATAAAGGAGAGGGGGGGGTACACTTACGCTATCCGACTATATGACACCAAGTATTATACATCAGTGTTATACGTCATAGCTATGACTTTTGCTTCCGACTATGTCCTAAACAAATAATGAGGTTAGGATGATGAAGGGATTAGATTACATGTAGGGTGGAGGTATAAATCCATTAGGTACTTAATTACTCTACTGGTTAATTATATTGCTGGTGTCATTAAGGATACGGTAAAATATAACAGACAGTATGTTGTAATCATATGTGTAGAGACTTAACCGACATCAGCGGGTATTGTCCTGCAGCTTAACTCTCTAACCTTAACATTAACCAACTTTCTTACTCTATTTCTGAATATCATTACCAGCACAGCTATCTCTAGCGTCTGTGAATGTAAGTCTGTCTGTTGAGATCAAAATGCAGGCAGTGGTGTACTGATTCCTGGCAACCCTATAGCCGAGAGTGGTATCACAGTACCTTCCCGTGGAGAAAATAGCCCCGTCTACAGCCGGATATGGCGATTGTATAGGAGTCAACCAGTCACCTGGACGGTAAACAATCCTGACAGTTTGACTTCAAATATTACAGTGGAACGCAAAAAAAGGGATAAGGTAAGTGAATTAGTTGCAACAGTGAGTGCT